ATATTGATTTATTATCTGTCAGCCCTAGACAGATTTCACCAGTGAGATCACTTCATTCTCTCATATATATCAAAAAATCACTTGTGATTTTTGACCAAAAGTGAAATAGAGCCTTGGACATAGGAATATAAGATGCTGTAAAATGTAAAGTTGGGTTTTAGGGCAATCATGTAATTTATCATCTAAACAAGAATACCTTTAAGAATGAAAGGGGTGCTGTTACACCAGGACAACAGGTCTAGATCTGTGGTAATTTGCTCATGAAAAGCATAGAGACTGAAGATGGAAATTATATGACTACAGAGAGAAATATTCCTTTCTCTGGGGCTCCCAACTTCACCACCAGTAGAGTGGAAACCAGGCATGGCCCCAATTGCATTCCCCTGATTTTCAAAATGGCACATGTCTGTAAACGGGCTCTTTGCTTTTTTATTACCTTCCTCTAGTGAGTTGGCAGCAGGCTGGGTTTAGTTGAAGGGCCATCTTGGGATTCTTATCATATGGCTTCCAAAACTATTATTTTGGTCTATTTGATTGGGGAATTTGTCTTTTATGCAGATACTTGTGGCCACAATTGCTTTTCTTTTACCAAGTGCAGAGTACTCCTCAGTGGAAACAGATAAGAAGGTAGGTAGCACATTGGCTGTTTTCCCTTGAGTTTGTGTTTTTAAAATGTAAGACAGAATGAAAAAGAATATTATGTATAAGGGTATTTTTTATGACATCTTTCTCTATTGGCCCCCCTGTGAAACCCTTATTCATTCCTTCATTTATTCATTTCTTTTGCACTTGTATGTTCATTAAATAATTACTATTCTACAGGGACAATTCTGTTTATTATTACCTGTAGTGAAGTTTAAAAGACTGCAGTATAAGGTACTGAGCCTGTTTCCTCTTCCAGTTTATTGTGTCCTTGCTACTCTGCCTCTTGGACTGGTGCATGGCATTGCCAGTGAGCACCCTTCTCCACCCAGTGTCCACGGCAGCCCTGGAGGAGCAGCACCTATCCAGAGCCCCCTTGCTGGATTATATCTACAGGGTGAGTCTCCACCTGGGCCTCAGGGGTGTAGAGTGTGGATTTAAGCATCAGACAATTACCAAAATATGTTTATGCATTAATTATTTATCTATGTTCTTTTGAAAAGGATTTATGGGAGGTAGGGAAAACAAATAACTTAAGAAGTGAAAACAGAACAGATATAATTGTAGAGAACCAATGATTACCAAGTGAAAGATGCACATATTTTTACATGACTGCCATCTTTAAACACCTGCAGTTTGATCAGAATCCCCTAGTTTTCATGGAACATGGTTTATATCTACTTAATTTAAAAAAGAACTGTTTATATTGTAGGAATATCCTTAGCCTTAGTTTGACAAAATCTGTTTTTTAAAGGAAAAAAAAAGTATAATGGTCCTAGTAATCTCTTTGCTTTAAAAGATCTTAAGAAATAAATTAATGAAATGTATCACATCAAAATAATTAGCCTCATAATTTTTATAGTACTTAAACTATTTGAATTTCACCCCCTACTGATGACGAAGTGTGGTGTTTGCTCTGGACCCTTCATACGATCTTTCTGTCTAGGACTTAGAGTCCATCCTGTGAGGGCCTTATTTATTTATTGGTTTGTTTGTTTAGCATTTATGTGTCCATTGAATAATTGCTATTATGTAGGGACAATTCTGTTGTTTATTTTTTTAGTAACAAACATTTAATTAATAATAGTTAAAAAAAGGTTATAAGTCATTAACTGATTTCTTTGTTGTATTATTTTTAAATGTATGAAATTTTTTAAAAAGATACTTAACCATGGTTGAAATTCTATTACAAAGTATTGTGTATTTTTAAAGGGTTTTTTCAATGGTCAGAGATTTTAACAACTTTGTTAGGATTAATTAGATACTTCTGTCATCCTTGTGGTTTATAAACCTATATGAGGCTTGCCTTGACCAACCTTACAGGTAGCCACAGTCATTTAAAGTCATCTCTTTTCTAACATTTTTCTTAAGAGATTTCTCTTAAAATTGCTTTACCAATGTAAAAGTCACCTTATAGTTAACATGATTCACAAATGTGTTGAATAACTTTTTTTGTATTTTAGTCTAAAGGAAACTTTCTATTGAAATATAAATGCATCCAGAAAATTGCATTTACCATAAGTGAGAGCTTGATGAATTTTCACAAAACAAGCACACCTGTGACCCAGATCTCAGCTCTAGAAACAGAATATTTCTAGCATCCCAGAAGCCCCCACTGTGCATCCTCCTAGTCCCTACCCCCATACACATACAAGGATAACCACTGTCCTGTCATAGCTTAGATTAGTTTCACCTATTTTTGAACTTTATGTAGATGGAAGCATACAGTATGTCCTTTTGTGTCTGACATCTTTCACTCAGCATTATTTTTGAGGGATTCATTATACTGTTGTGAATAATTGTAGATTTTTTACTCTTATTGCTGTTTCATATTACACAGTGAGAATAAACTATAATTTTTTTATCTATTCTACTGTTGATAGAAATTTGGGTAGTTTTAGAGTTTGGGACCATAAAAAAAAAAAAAAGCTCTGTGAACATTCTATTCTAGTATGTTTTTTGGTGTACGTATGTACGCATTTCTGCGGTGTATATCCTTAGGAGTGGAGTTGCTAGAATACATATGTTCTGCTTTAGTAGTGAACACACTAAATCATTTTCCAGAATGGTTGTACTAATTTACGCTGTCACCAACAGTGTCAGAGAGTTGCAGCTGCTCCACATTTTTACTAACACTTTGCTGTCTGGTAGGTATGTATTTGCTGTCTGGTAGTGGTATTGCATTATGGTTTTAATTTGCATTTGTGATTTTTATTACATTTGACTAATAGAACTTAATTCTCTCAATGACAGAAGCTCAACTTTTATATTAATAAGAAAGCTACCATAATTTTTGTATACTGCTTTTGCTAGGAAGAGGACATATTCAGGTGGCTATCCTCTGTTGACTACAGTTCTTGGTACTTTTTACTCATAAACAAAGGTTATATACCCCTAAATCCTCCAGTTCCCAAGAGGTAACACAAATAAAAGGAACTAAACAGAGAGACATCAAGCCTGACCAGAAGGCCTTCTGCCATGTGGACAAATCCAAGCTAGTCATGTAAAAATGAATTTAGCCCAAAGAAGTCTCCTTAGTTTCTAAAGTATTACTTTGATTTTCATAAAAATCAGTTTTTTAAATTTATTATCTTGAATTTATGATCAGAAAGTAAAATTTAGTACAATTATTAGCTCATGTGTACATTTTGGCATATGCAAGATGATTTGTATTTGTATGGCTTATAGAGCATCAATCAATAGCAATTGGTAAACAACCAGTAAGCTTTTAGGAAACCGATCTTGTGAAAATAGTGATACTTTAAAAATTTGTATTAAATTTACTTCATTAATCATACTTTTAAAAATTGTGTTAAATTAGCTCTTCCAATTCTTGGGGTCATGAGTTGTACTGATTCAGGTTCATGAACATTTATGAAGTATGCTGATAGTCAGTCTCTGCTGTTGCTTTCAATCTGCCCTCCACCATAGGTGGCGGTTGTTTACTTTGTGGTTTATCTCACAGCTAATCTTTACCTCCCGACTTAGTTTCTTCTACTTGTGTTGGCGTGTGGTGGACTGGAGCAGGACTTAGGTGTGTGCAACCACACAGAATGGCCGAATATAGACACTTTTGCTTTCTTTTTGCCTTGAGAATATATTTATTGTCATTGATGTGATAGAAGTAAAGTAAACTTGCTAATAGCAAGAATATGTTTTAGAATGGAAGGATTTAATGTTTTCAAGTATTACCACGCAGGAGTTCTACTTCCTAAGTGCTGTTGTAGTTTGACAAATTGTCGGGGGATTGGAAGTTAGTGACGTCCGTGGTACACATTCCTTTCTGTTTTTCACAGGTTCTACACTGCTGTGTTTGTGGCTCAAGCACATATACCCAACAGAGTAACTACACACTGACCCTGGCTGACCTGTCATCCTCAGATTATGACCCCTTCCTGCCACTGGCAAATGTGAAGAATTCTGAGCCAGTCCAGTATCATTCATCAGCAGAACTGGGCAACCTGCTTACTGTTGAAGAGGGTGAGATTCTTCAGAATATTAATTCTTATGGGCAGGAAAAGGAAAGATTATAGCCTTTTACCCATGCTTGCTGTCTCATTATTAATTTTTAATCTAGCTGTTGAAATCCTGGTTTCCAGAGTCCTCTATGTCTCAGACTCCTGGGACTCACAAAAACAGTTCATTTTCTATCCCCAAGGAGCTCTACATCTAATGAGAGAGACAGAATTAATGCAGAAGAACTCATTTGTAGACCAGTAGCACCATAGAAGCTTCCCATGGAAAAGAGCTTAAGCCAGACTTAGAAGGATGGACAAACTTTGAAAGGAGCCAGTAGAGTGTTCTAGACTAAGAGCATCATGAAGAATGAGATGGGAATTTACATGCCACAGTTTGAGGATTGCTCTGCTCATAGCAGAGGGGCCATTTTAATGAGTGTGTGGGTATCCTCAGGACTTAGGAACTGCTGCCTGTCCTCCTCAACCATCCTTCTCCCCAAAATGATAAGAGTTTATTTCTGGAATGTGAGTCTAAATGTGGGTGTATTATCTATACATTCATCTGATAGAATTGCATAGAACCACCCACACACACAAATGAGTGCATGTAAAACTCATAAACTCTAAATATTGATGAATTATTTCAGTGTCACTTTCCTGATTCTGATATGGTACTATAACTATGTAAGATGTTAACCATTAGGGTGAAGGATATTTGGAATCTCTCTATATTATTACAAGTGCATGTGAATCTTCAGTTGTCTCAAAAGTAAAAGTTAAAAAAAAAAAAAAAGGGGGTGTGGAGGCCCAAGAATGGAACCCTAGGGGTAAAAACATCCTTAAAGAAAAAGAAACAAGAGAATGTCACCAGGAAAGCAGATGGGGAAAGAACCAAGAAAGAGTCATTTCTAGGAAATCAAAGGAAGAGGGCAGATAAGGAGCCAAGGAAGATCAGCAGCGGTAGGTGTTTCAGAAAGATCAGGGAGGGTAAGAGCAGAACAGGAGGCCCAAGAATGGAACCCTAGGGGTAAAAACATCCTTAAAGAAAAAGAAACAAGAGAATGTCACCAGGAAAGCAGATGGGGAAAGAACCAAGAAAGAGTCATTTCTAGGAAATCAAAGGAAGAGGGCAGATAAGGAGCCAAGGAAGATCAGCAGCGGTAGGTGTTTCAGAAAGATCAGGGAGGGTAAGAGCAGAACAGGAGTCATTTTATTTCCTAACTAAATGTTTGGTGGTAAGTTTTGCTGAGTACTTTGGGCAGAGTGATTTGTCTGTACCAGAGAGCATAAGCAGATGACCTGGGGGATGACCATTCAGAACTCTAAGACTACCCCTTTTCATGGAGCTTTTGGTGGAGAGAAGGATACAGCAGGCATTAGCTAGGTGAGGGCATGGGGTCCATGCGAGATTACAGAGTCTGGAGTGTGGTTCAGGCTGAGAGGAAGGGGCCCAGTGAGGTGAGGATGAAGAGGACAGGAGTCAGTGTACCAGTCAGGAACAAGGGCTCTGGAATCAGCCATCCTTATTCTAGCTGCATTTTGTAGATGAGCAAACTTCAGTGAAGGGAGTTTCCTCAAGGGTGTATAAGCCAGAAGTAATGGAGGTAGAATTTGAATTTGATATTTAGTGACTAAGTTCCTGAAACCTCATGTTATTTACTCTGATATTTCGTAAGAGTACACTAAAAGTTCATTTTGAGTTGTGTTGCTGATGGACGGTATGTGGCACATTTTCATGTTGTCTTCGTTTTGCCCTCCATTTGCTTAACCATTGAGTTGTCTTTTTCTGGAGTTCACTGTTTTTTTTAAACTGCAATCTTGACTCTTTTCCCACAATTGTAAATTCAAACCATTATTTTTTTAAAATAAAATGACCCTTTGTTTCCTTTTTCGTTTTCTACCTTGTAGTCCATGTCTCATAAGAAAATTAACTTACTTTTTCCTAAAGTCATTAATTTACATTCATCCCACAGGGCTATCCCCAGAATAGGTTCACCACTTACTATGATTCATCCCTTAAAAATAGCAGAAGATTAATAGGTTAGTGAAAAAGGAGAAACCTAAAAATGCACGTTTAAATTTTTGTACTATTTTTCTTTCAGTGTACAATGCTCTTTGACTTGAATATTCATTCTCCAGATAACTTCAGGACCTTATGCAAACCCATCCTAACATAGTTCTGTGGTACTAAAAATAATTGTTTAAACTTCTGCGACACAGGGCTTTTATTATTCACTAACATTTTAACTAAATAGAACTGCAAAGAAACTTAGAAGCATATTGAGACATACAGACACTCTTGCTGAGTGACCACATCCTGATCAGAGTAAAGAGAAAAGATACAGATGATAACTTAGGTATTTTAGGTTAAACGAAATGTGCTCATATTTGAAGGTTTTTTGTTTTCATTTATGTCATTATTTATCATTCATAACAAAACTATCTCTACTCAGATAATGTTTCCAATAAGCAGTATTGTATTTTATCTATTTTTTAAAGTGATTCTTTATAAATCATTACCTAATTTTTGATATAATTACTACTTTCAGATAGAGTTACAAAAAGGAAACACATTTAACTACCTGCAGCTGAGGTAGCTACAGGCCTAGCTCAAGGAAAAGCCATTAAAGGCCAAACGTATGCTCAGATTTCTTATTATTAATACCTAAATGCTTAAAAAGAAGGGAGGGCAGGAGCTTTAAAAAATAACAATTAAAGGACAACCTAATATTACTGCTTTTATATTTCATCTCTAAATTTAGAAAAATAAATATTTGGAATATATTTTTTCATAGTTTGTGGAAATCATGAAGGTTTTTTTTTTTCATTAATGGAGCCTAGATTTTCTTCTTATTTTTCAGGGCACCCTCTGCCACCCTCCCCTTCGCCCCGCCACCAACCCCTAAGCAGTTGATTCAGCTGAAATCTGCCAGGGAAGAGCAATTCCCAGTTTAAAAATACTCCCTTTCTTTACTTTTTATTGCTAAAGGTATTTTGGGCCTTTATTGGCTGTGCCATGGTTTATGACATTAATAGTGTGACTCCAGGTTAATTTCGCATTGTATAATTCAAACATGTTAATTAAAATACAAATTTATATTTATCTCAAAGTAGAAGCACAACCTATGGAAGTAAAAGTAGAGGGAAGTTGCTTTCCAATTGTTATACTCTGCTTGGGCTTTATCAAATTGGACCTCTGTGGTTAGTTTCATGGCCTGCCCTACCATGTCATCACCACGTGGTGTCTTAACCTTGTGACTCCTGAGCTCCCAGCTGGCTGTACCTGTGTTGTTTGAGGCATTAACATTTCTGATGGAGTGTATATTCAGATGGAATGATAGGCATGAATAAAACACATCTGTAACTTTTTAAAAATTAATATGGGCACAAAAGCAAAGGAATTCATAACTGATTTCAAGGGAATTGGTTGAAGTGTTTTAAATTTCTCACCTGTATCGAAATCATACATAGTTCCGTGAAGAGTAGGAAGAAGAGTTTAATTTCAGAGACAGATGTAGATAACCTCCTTTGCTTCTTAAAAATGAGGTTTTTTAATACGAAATTTTTATTTTGCATTATTGAACACAGGTGATTTTTTGTTTATCGAAAAGAAAAAATTAAGAAAAACTTCAAGAAAAGTCAGAACAATCTTGTTCACAGTCATCACACAGAATTTCTTAGATTCTAGGATCTGTTTCTAGGATTTATACATCATATAATTGATGTTTTATAAATAAGTCAATTGGGTTTTTAATGCCTGAGAAGGAGGGTCTTTAGCATGAAAAAGTTAATTTTTATATTGTGAATTTAGATCAAATTAATATTAAATCAATTGTCTAAATTTAATTAATAAATTCATATAATATTTTAATTAATATTTAATTTTTCATGTTGTGAATTTAGAAAAGAAGCATTTCCTAAATCTTTATGCCCAAATTACAAATCTTAGTTTCTTTAAATATCTAGCAATTTTTTTTGTTAAAACGTTTCATTTTAATTTGTTCTTAGATTAATGCACAATTTTTGAAATAAATGTGGTAGATTAAAACCTTCCTAACTACTCTCAAGCTTAAGTAATCATTTCAATCCATATTTATGGATTTAGTTTATCTGCTTCTCCCTTTTACCTCACTCATTTACAAGGCTTGCTTTTGGATGCCATTTTCAAAATCCTTCTGTATATTTGAAGTCTTAAAAATTTTGTAAATCAGTTGCTCTTGGACATTTAATCATCAACTACAAATTTAGTTAAAGCTTCCTAAGTATTTCCATGAATTATTAATATATCAGATTCTGTTAAATATTTAAAATGCCCTAACAACAAGATAAATTGTTACAGTGATCTTAAAGCAAATGGCTTAAAATATATGTAAGCAGTCACAGGCTGGATTCATTTCCTTACTAATGCCTACCTGAGGGGAGCGGGATGACCTCTCTGGCCCAGCTCCGACCCACCCCCAGCCTCCAGCCCCCACTGTCCAGCTCTGCCATTTTCTCCAGCCTCCCAGAGCTCTCAGACTGCCACCTTCTTAAGGACAGGGACCTTTCTCTTGTCTATTGCTGTTTCTACAAATTTTTATATGTCCCTTTCAGAGTGAAATCTTCATGTAAGTTGATTCTTTTAGCAATCTATTTAAATTGTACTTTTAAATTCACATAGAATTAGTGTCAAAAAAGAAAAGAGATGAAAAAGAAAATCAAACATTCTAAGTACAGGTTGAAATTTGGAGGTTTTCAGTCTTGATCTTCATTCTCCACTGTCTCATGTTTTTTTTTACGGCTGTTCACAGAGAGGAAGAGACGAAGTTTGGAGCTGATTCCTCTAACTGCCAGAATGGTAATGGCCCACCTGGTGAATCACCTGGGACACTTCCCCCTCCGAGGGGGCCCTGCTGTGCTGCACAGCCTGGTCAGCGAGAACCATGACAACGTGCATGCGGAAGCCTCTGAGCTTTCCTCCGAGGTGTTCAGGAGCCCAAACCTGCAGCTGTTTGTATTTAATGACAGCACTCTCATCTCCTACCTTCAGACACCCACAGAAGGACTGGCAGGCGTATCACCTGTGGCCGCCCTCTCTGATGTGAGAGTAATTGTGAGGGATATCTCAGGGAAGTACTCTTGGGATGGGACAGTTTTATATGGACCTTTGGAAGGCTGCTTAGCACCCAATAGCAGAAATCCTTCATTTCTGATTTCAAGCTGGCATCATCAAACATTTGGACCTCAGAGAGATTTTTCTCAAACTGAGGAAGCAGATGATGTCCTCGACAAATTACTTGAAAACATTGGCCACACAAGTCCTGAATGCCTTTTGCCATCGCAGCTAAATCTAAATGAGCCTTCCCCACCCCCATGTGGAATGAATGGTGACCAAGAGAAAGAAATCATTGAGGTCATTTTGCGCCAGAATGCGCAAGAAGATGAGTATGTTCAGAGGAGTAACTCTGATTTGGCCATGAGAGTCACCAACCAGGAGCAGCCGTCACCAGTGGAGCCCCGAGGACCCTTTTATTTCTGCAGGCTGTTGCTTGATGACTTGGGAATGAATTCTTGGGATAGAAGGTAACAGTCGACTCTAGTCCTTCAACTATTTTGTTGTTATTTTTGTGTGAAATATATGCATACATACATATATATATATAATCATTTTAGGTTGGGGAAGCAGAGAATAGAAATCGAGATTTTTCTCTATTTCAACATTTACAGCTTATTTTCTGCTGCTAAATTAAAGCTAGAAACTGTGCTGTGCTGGTTGCACAGATTAATTTCAAACATCTGTTGTATATTTTAAAGGGTATCAAATATTTTCCATGTGTTTTAATTACTGCTCTGTCCATTATTGTGTCTGCCTTCCACAGATGCAAATAGACTACAAAGTTGAATAAACCAGTTTCACCTTGGCTCTGGTGAGGGAGGTGGACTTGATAACAACTCTGATGAAAGATAGCATGACACAAGAGATCAAGCAGAACAGTTAAATCCAATGGAAGATGTGGTTCAGTGAAGAAGACTTTGTAGGAGGGGAAAGATTTGAGCTGGACCCTGACAGTGGGTAGAGCGGAGTTTTTAAGGACAGAAGTCGGGGAAAAGAGGTTCATAGCAGAGCCAACAGTGAAAACAGAGACACAGGCACATGCACGCAAGTCACAAACTTATTTACCATAGAGCCATCCAGTCACTGGATAGTAATGGGATGCAGTGGAATTCTGATACCCTTGAATGTATTAAGGAGGATAGAGTTCATTGTGTAGGCTTCAATAGAAAATCTTTTGTGAATGATGTGGGCAATGGATGGGTAAATGGATGGATGATAGGTAAGTTTGTCAGTTGATTGACTGGAAAGGGCAAAATTGCTCTATGATTACATGATTTTTATCCCTTTTTCTTTATAGAAAGAATTTCCATCTGTTGAAGAAAAATTCAAAATTATTGAGAGAGCTAAAAAATTTAGACTCCCGTCAGTGGTACGTGAAGTTTATCAAACCACTTTATTCCTGTCTGTCTTTGTGTGTGCATAGATGACAGCTATAGCTGCAGGAAGGACTACATTTGCAGAGACACCGAAGGGTAGTTTTGTAACATAGAATCTGGTGACATTTGCACATGCCATACTTTTGGTATTTTTACCCTTGAGCAATAAACTGACATGTTTGCTACACTAAGAGGTCAGTACTCCCATCTAATCTGTGCCTTTGATTGAGGACCTTGCATGTGACAGCCAGTGGACATTCATTCTTATTTAACTTCTATGGCCACCTCTTTTTCTGATAAGAAACAGAGCCTTACCTAGATCAAACATCCTCCCTGTGCTTGCACATTTTGTGTTTGAAACAAGTGACTCTGACTTCTTAACCTGTGCTGTACACCCATGCGCTGGCATTCTGTAGTTTCAGCTTTACAATGTTGGTAGGGTTAAAATCAGTGTGCTGTAATTAGTAACTTCCTAAATATAAGCCTCATTCTCCAAAGCTGGCTAAATCTCAGATCTGTCCCTCTTTCATACAATCATAGAAGCAATTACAAAGATGAGCTCACAACCAGTTTTCGATTTGGGGAAATGTGTACTTCCAAAAACATCTCAGTGAAGTAAGTGTAGTACTTGGTACATAACAGGTATTCAAAAGTCTTGAACAAACTGTTTCCTTAATCTTTAGTTTTTAAAAACTCATTTAAAAAACAGCTTTTATTCCTCTTTTATTCCCCTTAGAAATATTATTAGATCTCTCATTAGAGATGAAAAACCCAAAGCCATTATTCCTCACATTGCCCTTCATCATATTCAGTTTCCCAGTTGTTGTTGTGCTTCTTTTTCTCTAGAGGAATAGAGATTGAATTCTCTGTGGAAATTCTGTGAGGGATTTCTTCTGAAAGACTCAGGGATTCACTTCCCTCTCCCACTTGTCCTCCAGTATTAAACAAGTAATCACTTGGGTTCCAAACTCAGCTTTTCAAGCATATGTTGAATTATTCCAAGCTTCTTAGTATTAAGTGAATACATTGGTATCTTGTAATTGTGGCCAATTTGTTGAGTGTTAATGCACTTTAGTTGCATGAGGTACAATTGAATTAGCTCCCTGGGGTGCTGTTGCTATAAAATATGGCTTTGGAGAGCTGATTGGCAAATCCTCTGCTCCTTGATTAACTTTCACTTAAAACCCCAATTCCTGGATTTAGTGTTGTCTTGACATCTAAAAAGTTATCAACTTATTTTATGGTAAAGGATATTTCCAAGGTTTTTTGTTGCTGTTGTTGTTGTTGTTAACGGAAATAAATCAGGGACTCTTCAGCTATGAGAAATATAGACTGACTTGTGTATTGATCAGTTAGCACACCTTGTCTCTCAACTTTCAGTTAGGATATTCTGTTTCTGATACCAATTTATCTCACTGCTGTTAAGGCACAGTTCCTTAGCATGTTCTTAGGAAAAGTAGAGGCTATCTTGCAACTATCATTTATATACTGTTGGCAAAGATATAAATAGTGTGATGACCATACATACAGATTACAGTGACCTCTCCTTTTAAATATTAATGCTTCTTGCCAGCATAAGGTAAGGTGAAAGTTAAAATCATGTTTCTTCTTTGTTTGGCTTTTTAATGTAACAGCACAAGGAAACTGAGCTATTCTGTTCTATACTTAATAAGAATAATACATTCTAATGAGAAAGGGGAAATGGTTGGTTTTATGTATGTGTGTTCCTGAATTACCTGCTCTTTCATGCATTGGTTGTGCAGCTCATGGATATGAAGTGCTGTTGATGCTGCTAATTATCATTTCAAAAGCCTGGCTCTAATAAGTCCAGACACAGCATCTACATCCTAGCAGGCTCTCTGCGGTGCTAACATTTTGGAGGATGTGAAATTTGATGAATGTTTACAACTAAAGGTCACCTTTCCTCACACCTACATCAGTCAGGCAGTCATTGGGACTTAGCTCTCTTGTGCTCCCACATTGAATTAATGAGGACTCAAGGACCTGTGAGCAGCTACACTGTAAAAAGCTTGGACTTTAAGGAGAATAAACAAAAATATTTCAGATAAACCTGAGATTGTTTTTATGTATGTAAAATATATAGAATAGAGAAAAATTAAATGCTGAGGACTGTTAAATATAAAGAGAGAGCTGCCAAAAGAAATAGAATAACTATGCTTTTTTTTTTCCTTTTGTTGAAGAGATAGTCTTTTAGGTCATAGGTTATGATCTCTGTTATCATCTGAGCCCCCAAATTATTATAGCTCTTAGAATAAGCCAGTCAGATTCTAGGCTGCCAGTGTACCCTGCATGGTGTCGCATTTCAGAGCTGCATACTGCATGAGGACAAGCTTACTGACTGTCTGGGAGCACAAAGTCTATACAAGAGTATTAGGCCCCTGGAATCCATCCCCACAAAACTCACCTCTCCTCAGTGTACCTGTTCTCATCAAGAGAGTCCTCCCCAGAGTGTGCTCATGCCACATCAGTCAGGGCATTCAGGATGTCCACCCTCTCCAGTGGCAACAGGATAGTGTGCATCAGAAGCCTTAAAAATGGGTGATGATCAAGATTTCATTGCTATGAATTTATTTTAAGGACATATCAAAAATAATGTGAAAAATGTCTTTAAAAATGGAAACAACCTAGATATCCTATAATGAGGATTTAAGATGTGGTATATTAATATAATGGAATGTAATATGACCGTTAATAGCTTAGTTATAGAATCACATGGTAATAAAGTGTTCATACTCAAATATGGTTGAAATGGAAAATTTTAGTTATGTATATTTTATACAATAAAACGTTCATAAATATTTTAAGTGAAAAAATCAGTTACAAAATAGAATATAGTAGCTTCTAATTTTTGTATGCAAAAATGCATCCTAAAAATAGTGTTATGTTCTTTCTTATATATTGATATTATAAGTGTTTTTTATTCTATTTCCTTGCTATATTTTCTAATTTTTCTTCTATGTTTATTTCATGTAAACTGTGGGAGAAGTGAATAAGCTATCTGGATGAATAGAAGAAGTGTGCTCTCCTCCTCCATTTATTTATGACTTTTTAGTTGAGTTTGAAGTCATTCTGCTTGTTAGTAGAAAAACAACTGCAGAAGGAAATGTTTGAGAATAAGATAAAATATGGAGCCCAACTTCCACGAATATGAATGTCCTAATCAGATTACAATGTTGAGATATTGAACAATTAGACAATAAAAACATTTTATATTGTTTAAGCGCTTGATAGTTTTTTCTATGAGATTTTTCAGAATGTAATGCAAAATTAAGGAGAAGAATGGAAATACTCTAGAAATAGTAATCCAGACTTTTAGAAGTGGACTGAGTGATCCTTGATTAAAGCTCTATTTCAATGAGAACATGTCTTCATCTCTGAACTATTACCAAATTACTTGGTATAAGTCCAGTTATTTTGACACTTTACTCCAGGGTACAATTTGTAGAAATTAGTCACTAATACTTTTAAATATATCATCATATCTCTGGTCAGTTTATCAGAGATTTAACTGGGCAACTACTAGATACCAAGGACTATGCTAGATGTACAAAAAGTGAAAAGGGAGGGCTCCTTTCCTCAACGTCCATATTATGTTTACCCAAAATCCATCATGCAAGAAGTGAATGAAGGGTGTACATGGCTAAAGAGGTTTCCCTAGACAGCTGTCTACCCTACCAAGCACCCTCAGATTAGTCAGAGCACAGAGAGGGTATACCTCTCCCAGAGAATGTATACCTCTCCCAGAGAATGTAAGTGTGTTCTGCTGGGAAGAAGTTTCTGTTTCTCGTAAAGTCTTGGCATGTTTTAGAGTTCCAATATCCTTAGCTTAAAGTGTAGAAAATAAAATATGGGTGTTCACATGGATCTGTTCACAATTGATGTCTATTTGAAATGCTTTCAAAGATATTTTTTAACCAAAAATGGAGAGAACTTGTCAAATAGTGTGCTATATAACATGCTGTTAAGAATATCATATGTTGGAGAGAATAATCTCAAGAACCAGACTGCCCTGCTTCAGTTCTTGGTCTCCTGCTTGCTATGTGTGCTTTTAAAAAACTTTCTGTGCCTCTTTTCAACCACCTTTACAAGGGAGGAGATGATAATAATACTTGTTTCATTAGGGGGGTTTCAGAGAATAAATGAGATCATGCGTGAAACCTTCTTAGACCAGTGACTGGCTGTAGTAGTAAAATAAAATTTTATATATAAGAATTCTCACTCATTTAAATTTAAAAATTTATAGCCGTGAAACACACAAAATTGCAGTGTTTTACATTGCTGAAGGTCAAGAAGACAAGTGTTCAATCCTCTCCAATGAAAGAGGAAGCCAAGCATATGAAGACTTTGTTGCTGGACTTGGATGGGAGGTAATTCATTTCATTTAGCAGTTGTTTGTTGACCAGCATTACTTAAAGATGTTTATAAGTTAGACATTGATTGTATATCTTTTTACATATGTTTTCAAATTCAAGTATAGCATGAGTAGAGTTCTGGAGTTGAAGAATGTATCGAATTTGACATCTTCTGTTAGTTACTTTTCAGTACTTTATATGTGAACTTTGGTTTCCTTAACTTTCCTCTTAATACTATTTCATTTGGTTTTTATCAGAACTGAATAGATCAGCTCACCCAGCCATAGATAGGTTGTAGTAAGAAAAGACAAATGGGCAGAGAAGCAATGGCTTTTGTCACAATATAAAAAATGGAGAAGAAATCAATGACTTGATTGGTAAAAATATAAAGAAAGAGTTGGATGAAGTCAAAAGTTGGAGAGAATATAGTAGCCATGATTATTTAGCTATCAACCTATATCCCTAGGAAAGATACTGGATGACTACTAATGAAAAAATTTGGTTTTTCTTTACTAAATGATACTCTGAAAGACATACATACATTTATACACATGTGTGCGCACACACACATATTTGTCTCCAGGAACATAAATCTAAAGGAAAATATATTCCCAGAATCTAAAGGAATTCAGAGTAGTTAAAATGAAAATTGGCATATGTAAAATAATTTTTCTTATTATTACTTTTGGTTTCTTGGTTATCTGTGCTGTGAGAAACTCTAAGTGCACAGGGAAGACTTGTCTCTGAGATTTGAAGTTAGCAAGGGGACAGGGTAAGAATACATTAAAGTCATGACCATATACTTTTTAAAAGATCAAGTAGGTCTTACTCAAAAAGAGTTATTACACTTCCAGTAAATCATTGTTCTTACTAATAAGGTTATTTCTTTGTCATACAATATACTTATTATTTAATATGTTTTTTAAATCATACATTCTTAACTAGAGTTTAAAGGAACATTAATGAATTCAGTGTATATATTGTGTGTTAGAATAGTTGCTTTACTGAAGGACTACTACTGTATGAAAAGAAAAAAAAATGGATCTAGGCAATAAGAAGTAAACATTCACACCATAGCCTGAAAAAAGAATTACGACTCATGGACTTTTGGCAGTGGTATAAATTGGAACCATCCTTTTGAATGACAGTTTAGCAATGGATGCTAAATTTTGAAACATCTGTATCCCTTGACCCAAATCCTACAGAAATACTGCTTTGAATGCTCCTCTGGTTTGACCACACCAACAGAAAGCAGAAAACTCCATAAAACCATCAATAAGGAAACTGTGTGTGTGTGTGTGTGTGTATTTGTGTATACATAAATACACACACATATATGTATAACCTCATATACATATGTATAGGAGGAAAAGAGGAGTACGCACTAAACTTTTAATAGTGGCTTTCTTAAATTGGTAGGATTATGGAGCACTTTCATTGTTAATATTTCTTTAATATTTTAATTTTGTCTGACTTTGTATTACATTTGTTTCCATCTGAAAGCTATAGAGAATAAACATAATTAGATTTTTAAAAATCCACATTCCTACTTAGTGAATAAGATCAGCTAATATTTAACCCTGGCTCTTTTTCTTTCTTGTGACCTGTGTCAGGTGGATCTCTCTACCCACTGTGGATTCATGGGTGGACTTCAGCGCAACGGCAGCACAGGGCAGACTGCCCCTTACTATGCTACCTCAACCGTGGAAGTGATTTTCCACGTTTCCACTCGGATGCCGTCGGACTCAGATGATTCACTCACCAAAAAGGTAAGGGGCCCTGGTTTGTAGGTGAGGCTCTCCTAGAACTGAACAAAAACCATGGCATAACATGCAGTGAGGTCAGTTAACTCTGGATGCGATCTCAGTTTCGCTCTTCTCAAACTACAGTTGTAGTTAATCTGAAATATCCAGTTTGTCGCAGACTAGATAAATATATGAAAAGCAATCAATCATATGGATCTTAAATCCTGAGATTAAGATTTAGGAAAAGGAAGGATCTTAAATGTTGTTACTTTTGGATCTTCCCTCACATGACTGTTAACTGACAGAAAATAACATTATTGATCTCTCAGGTTGGCAAATATCATAAGATGTAATGACTCTGTGCTGGTAGAGCTCTGAGGAGGCAAGTATCTCTCAGGCTTGCTGTGGGACAATTTGGCAATGTCTGTCAAAATGACAAGTGCAGGTGTGCTGCTGTCCAGTGGTCCCACCTTTGGCACTGGTATTCACCTTCAGCTTGGCCCTATGGACAGTTTTCTCTAGAATTCAAAGGACCCTTCCCCCACCCCCGGCAGGCCCATGAGGAAACCTCCCAGGGGAACACAGGCGTGTACTTTCCAACCTGCAGGATGTTCACCTCAGGTAACCAACTGTTAGAAGTGAAGAGCACCCAAATAGAAGAGGAATTTTTGTCTGGGAAGGAAGCCTAGAAATCTGACCCACTCTTGCAAGTTTACAGATAAGAGGAAGAACTGCAATTAACCTGCTAATGGGTAGCAGAGCCTAGAATCCGTACCTCACATCCACTCTTTTCCTGCAAGGATGCAAGGAACCGAGGACAGCACCTGAGTGGGTTGGAAAACAGGTCATTCAGATGTTGACTAAGTCTGGCCATTGTGGGAGTCTGGTGTGGTTGTGATAGCCAGAGTAGGGAGATAAGCAGACTTGGGCTCAAGTGTGTATCCATTCGCCTCACCAGCCTGTGCCTCACTTTCCTCATCTTTTAAATGAGATTAAAAACAGCCTATGTTTGATATGAAGTGAATGGATAATGCCTGTAACACTGCTTAACATGGTGCCTGGTAAGATCTCAAACCATCAGCCCTTGTCATTGCCTGTCAATCTAAGTGATTCTTTTATTCTCCTGCCCCATTAGGCAGATGATTGATATTGGCCAATGTACTTCACTGTACCTGCTTGATTCCTTTCCACTGTGAGTGTGGTTTTGCATTTCCAACACTGCAGCTGCAGACCTCTGGACCATATTCATGGTGGGCAGCAGTGAGTCTCCTCATGAGACCTCAGAACTCAGGTCACAGCACATTCACTGACAACTCTCACAGTGACCAAGTGTCTCAGATACTCAAAGCATAGTTGGCTTTCACTCCCTGGTCCCTTTGTTAGCATGGCCTCCCGCTGGCCATGAGCTGACTCTCACAGGTGGAGGAACTGCCTCCATGTCTTAGGTTTTGATAGCTGCTGCCCTGGTTGTGGGATTCTTGGTGAAGGGGACCCTGCTCTCAGAGAATCTACTTCAGATTACGAAGTCCGGGGCTTATACATCTGCTTTATTTGTAGCACCTTGTAAATTGCTCCTACTCTGCAAATGTGTCACTATATTCTGTGATTTTCTTATGACGAAGAACTGTTTTGTTAAAAGGTAGATTTATATATAAAATACTTTTAAAAATTATTTCCTAAGTAAAGAAGGATTGTCTTTTTTAAGAAAAGGCATAGTGTTTTCTTGCTAAAACGCCGTGCGATAAATAATGTTCCAAAGCTTGGCCTGCTTTAAAGATTCCCTACTGTAATAATCAACATTCAGCTGATACCTTTTGCAGCTCCAAGATTTAGCATCATTAGTGACAAACTCTCTTTGTCAGGATGTCTCACAGCTAGACTAAAAATCAGTCACAGTAACAGCAGCCCACAGTTCCTCGTCTTATTCTAACTAAATTGTCCCTAACAGGTTAAAAATGAGCTGCAAAATTCTAAAGTGATTCATGTTCTCTTTTGCCCCTGTCATGGGGGCACTTTTTCAATTCTGCAATCCGGTCGCAACCCCATACTGAACTCTTGATCCTTCACTGCAGAAATTTGTTAGCTCTAGCTAGATTAGATTTTTCACAGCTAATCTAACTGCTGTAGGGGTTTGCAGAGTGGGGACAGAGCTGTGCTATTGGATTTGTCCAATTCATTTGACTCCAGGACTATAATTGCACTTATGTCTTACAAGGTTTTTATAGCCTCAGGCTGGCCAGCCGCATAAAAAACAAATTGGCAGTGATACAGTACGAGTGAAAAGGGATGAAAGGCCCACATTATCAGTCTCCAGGCAGCACTGTTCTGGCAGGAAGTTTCTTGGTTAATTTACAAATAAAACTTAGATTTTAGGATGGGCACACTGTCAGCTGAACAATGGGGATGTCAGGCCTGACTGTTACTTAGTAAAACTAGCAGCCGGGCCCACTGAGGAGCAGGAATTCTTCAATCAAACAGACGACTCCTTCTGGAGCCAGCTGGCGATGTAATGCAATTAGTCGGGAAAGGAGGTCAGCCTATTAGGTGTGTACCATGACCAGTGTCACCAGTGCCTGCTGCCTGGCAGCAGCAGGCAGAATGGCCCAGGCGAGGGACTTTAAAACTCTGTCAGGACAAGAAGTGGCAGGACATGCAGTTGATTTCCTAAGACTTAAGAACCAAACGTTTGTTTTGAGCTTGTTAAGCACCTGCACATTCTGGAGCCTGTTGTGTAGTTGAAGCAGTAGCTGGCATGAATGACAGCTCTATTCCAGGACGAGACTCCTTAGTCTCCTCTCAGATTACACACAAGTCACATCAGCCTGGCTTGTGTGCACAGAACTCAGTGGTAGATCTGATTGGAGGGCCTCTAATCAAAATTTTCCCAAACTCACAAAATGATATCTTTATAATGAAATCCTCTTTAAATTGAGCAACACTTTGAAGTTTCCAGAGTATTCCCTTATGTTCTGATATGGCTGACAACACGGCCAGGTTAATTCTATTCGTTTTACCTGCTTGTATTCTTATCATTGGCAAAAGTGGTTTTTTCTGCTCTGTGCTCCACATTTATCAGCCAATTTGTCCTGAGGCCTTAGGTTTTAGTTTTGTGAGTTAGCTAGTTAAACCGTGGTGTGTCCAGCGGTCTGAGGCACATGACTTTGAAAGCAGTTTTGAGATGACGAATATTGTATTATTAACACACAAAAGTAGCTCTTCCTTAATTACAGAATTGCCACACTGGGAGGATGGTTCTATTAGTGTGATACTATTCTCCCTTGCTGTAGCTCTGAGAATACAGTTGCAAACAGAATTAGGAGAGACTTACTTGGGTTATATAATTGAATAACCTAATTTAGAAAAGTGAGAGTAACTGCAAATTTTAAATAATCACTGTATTACCTTACCTCTAAGCTAATGCCTTGCAACATACACTTCTGGATCCACAGGCGTGATCACAGGAGAGGTCACACAGAGGGTGCTGGCATTAGGTGGCAGCCCCACATTTGAAGGGTATTTAGTAGGTGAGTTGATCCTGTTAAGACATTTGTGCCAGCATTAAATGAAGGGGCCCAGAACCACACGAAAGGTTGTCTTTCTTTGCAGGATGAGGGGTGTGGGTGTGAGTTCTGGGGCAGCCCCAGCTCTCATAATTACCTTCTACTGGTCTAAATTCCTCCAAAATTTTAATTTGATACTATTCATATTTTCTTTGAAAACATGCCTTTATTGTGCTGCTGGTGATATTGACTGCCATGTTTCACTCTAAAAGCATTGAGTTTCAGGATTGTGTTGTGAGGTCCTTGAATGTTTTATTAAAAAGGAAAAAGAAAAGGAAGAAGAGTTCTAACATCTAAGATGGAAATAGAGAAATAGAGATGTTCAGTGTAACTGTGAGAACCCAGTGTCTATATAATGCATTGCTCGCTACCCTTTTAGGCTTTAATATGTGTGAGAGAGAGAGAGAAGGAAAAAAAAAAGATGAAGTGAGTAATTTTGCATTGTCATAGACCCCATTAAATTGTTCTAGATCACTGTGACTCGTGCTCAGCACCCACGGTTGCATTTGTCCCAGAGCCCGTATTCAGACACAATGAAATCGTGCGCCCCTCACGATAGGCACAAAGGTACAGGTACAAGTCTCTTTTTAAAAAATTGACTTGTGCAGTCGTCCATAGAAGTATGAGAGAATGAAGAGTAAGAAATCCATTGAAGCAAACCAACTTTCTTTATAATCTTGTAAATGGAAAGGAGGCCATATTGGGGTCACCTCAGATTTTCTCTTTATGGTCAAACAGTCTATAAAGAAAATGGTATTTATACTGACATATTTTAAATAAATAGTATTCCAAAGCATTCTTTTTTCATATTTTAAGACAAAACTAAAACATCAGCTTTGATATAACATCTTTATTTATTAAAGTACCTCTGAATTTAGTAATTTTTAGGGTTCATCCATTAAATAAACTGAGAAGCAAGAAATCTTTTTCCATGGTGGTAGACAGTGTTCTTCTGCAGCGGGTGAGAGAATTGAAACCTCAAATTCTCAGTAGGTGTCAAAGGGCTGTCACTAGTCAGCCTTTATGGTTTCAGGATTTCAATTTTGGCCAACATTTTAATCTTTATAATCTGGTTTCTTTTCGTCACATGTTCAGTGAGTTTACTCCGATAATTTTATATATGGCTTTCTCCAGCCAGGACATGCCATCATCATGCAAGAGCTTTATCACTGGTGTCCTCGCATCTGACAGAGGTTGACCCTGGGAGGACTCTCAAAAGTCCCTTCCTTGGAGGCATGAGAAGGCCCTCAGAGAGACCAGAAGTCTCTGACTTGTTTTTAAACTTTATGGCCTCTCTGTGTCTAAAATGATAAAGTAGTAGGCTAAACTGTTTGAGCTATGACAGCACAAATAGCTTTTGATGTAGGCTTAGATAGCCACAAACAGTGGAAATAGAGCTGAACTGGGAGCCCAGCCCAGGTTTCCAAGCCCACTCTGCCACCGCCGTTTATGCACCTGGGATGGGTGATACCTCTGCCTTTCCAAGCCCCATTTCCTCCTTGTTAGATAACATAAGGGTTAAACAAAACAATATGTATGAACATACTTTCTATACATTAAGATACTCTTTAAATGCTAGGTACAAATGTTCTTATTAATTTTAGTAATATTTATTTTCGTAAATAAATAATTTTATGCATACTTCTTAAAAGTTTGTCACAAGTCTAATTTTTATACATTTGGTGACAACTGTGTTATAAAGTCTTATGTTCTCTTATATTCATATTCTGATTTTCTTAATTACCATTAAATTAAGTCTTATTAAGCTCTACTGTAATATGGAATAAAAGACTCATGTGATTAATTGTTTTCAAACATGCTCAGCAATATAAAGCATAAGGCTTTGATGTAGGAGTAAAATTCAATTTAAAAAAAAAATTTTTGAAAAGGTCTTGTCCCCATCCAGCCATAATGTACCTGTGATGCTTAGTACAATGTGTTTCAATGGAGGTGAGCTGTGCTTTCTTGCCTTTGTGCTTTTTCAAATCCTCATAGAAGACATTGGCATTGTAGCCTTTTTTGGTAGTACAATATTTTTGCCTCTGAGTATTGTAATTCAATTTGTAAGCCACGACCCCCTCATAAACTGCTTGTTATCACTCTGATTAATAAAGAGCCACTTTGCCGTTGCAGCTTCGTCACTTGGGGAATGACGAGGTCCACATCGTCTGGTCTGAACACTCTAGGGACTACCGCAGGGGTATTATCCCAACCGCCTTCGGAGATGTTTCAATCATTATTTACCCAATGAAGAATCACATGTTCTTTATCGCGATAACAAAGAAACCTGAGGTATGTTTTCACCTCATTGACTATTAATTGACTTATATACCATTTGCTATATTCACTGTTATTAAAAAACAATGACATAAATGTGTTAAAGGGGACTTTTTTCCAAGTGATGAATGTCTTACATGTATATGAATTACACATGCTATAGGAATTAAGAATTGGGATTTTCAAAGAATCTTTCATCATGAGCACAAAATTCCATGTTTTATTACTTAGCCTCTTTGAATATTATCATGTGGAAGACATTTATGATTTTAAAATGTTTTAAATTTTGTAATTTAAAAAAATTATAATTTTAAATTTTGGGCATATTGATTAATAATAAGAGTTGAATGAACCCCATATCATATCTAGCATTTTGTGGATGACTGTGGTTATAGAATTTGACCTTGTCTGATGGACAGGCACTGCTCACCAAGCTTCTGACTGCTCCTAACAGGGGTCAGTCCGAAAGGATTACAGGCATGTCCGTGAAGAGGCTGGGCCTCTGTAGCCCAGCTCATGTGATGACTTTTAACAATTGAAGCACCTTGCCTCAGAATCAATTCAGCCACATCAATTGGTATTGATCTTGAGAATGGCTGGAACAATCCAATGGTTATGTGCCGTGTACTAAATTGGCTGCAGTTTCGATCCTTGCCGTGCCTTTAGTGATACTTTAGTAGTGCTTTATATAGTGATTTGTTTTTGTTTCAGAATTAATAGGAGGGTTTTTTTTAAGTTTTTTTTTTTAATAAACATTTAGCATGTTAAATTACTGCTTCTCAAGAAAATGACTTGTGTATTTAAGCTTTACATTAAAAATAATTTTTATTTACATTCCAAATTGTTCTTCTAAAGGAGCTAAAAGTTACCACCCTAATTACTTTCTCCTTTTAAAATAACTAAGATTTACTGGAATTTATAACCTATCTAAAGTATTAAAGTCATGAGGGTTTAAGTGAGCTAAGAAATGAAAAGTGCTTTCACCAGTGCCTGGCCCCACTAAGGATTATTATTATTGCTATTATTACTTTTGTTATAGTTGCTACCATGAAAATAGATAAATTATGAATCTCAAGTATAACATGCTTATTTCTCAGACTAGATACAGTAGGGTCACTCCTGAATCCAGAAAAGCCCCACTGTGGGTGGCGAGAGGCCTGACCTAATGGAAGTACTCTTTTCTATTCAGAAAGTGAAGATGACAAAAGTTTCATATTAAATATTTGTATTCTCTTTGATTCAAGTTTCCGTGTATGTTTTCACTTTTTATAAGAAAATTCTCGTAGCACTAATAACATTTGTGTTTTGTCCACTACTTTAATTTTAAGAATTAGACTGAAAATTTTAGTATTAGAGAACCAATAAATTCAGTATCCAGTAGCTTTCAAAACTGGAAAATGTGTTTCTTTAATATTTAGTATGGATTAACTGGCTTTATTAGTTCATTTTCAACATAGCCCTCTAAAATGTCACTTAATGTTTTTAAAATGTCGCCTTTATTTTTATAGTACATGAAAAACATAAAAGATATTTCAGTTCACGTAATAGTGTCAAAAGTGATTTTTAAAAAGTGTATTACACTTAACAATGCGTGAAAACAAGTATTAACATACCTTTTAAATTTTATTTTAAAATGTGTGTAAGTTTATAAATTTGGTTGTAAATTCTGACAAGATGTATTGAGCAAATCACCTTCTTAATATTTCAATTCAGAAGCATGAAGAGAAGAAGACAATAATAGCCAACTGGAAATTCAGTGTTATCCCTACATTTAAAGTACAAACCATTACAATGTAATAAAATTAATCCAGACATTTCCAGGGCAAGTGTGGCTGACCTTTTGTTCACCAACCACTGACCCCAGGGTGAATGCAAGAGGCTTGTAGAGGGAAAGTCTGTTTGTTTGGCTTCAGTCCCTGGTATTTAAATTGCATTCCCTAATCAAATGAAAAGGCTGTCCTTTCTATCAGGTTACAGAATCCATGGCAACATTTGGCCTTTTATATCCATAATGTTAGCCTTTTTGTTTGCATCTAAGTAGAGACACCTGGAGCAATGTTAACATTAACCGATTTAGCATTAATAGCTTCATTATATAAGAATTTCTGATCAGATAGCTGTTACTTTTGTTATATTGCTTCAGCTTGTATTGTTGTCATTTTTATCTCTCTGCTTGGCAACCAGGCAATGATTTGCAAATTTTTTTTGTCTTGATTAATTAAGCAATATAATTATCAGTAACCGTGATGCAGTCTTTGCTCAACAAAGCTTCTGGGAGAAAACAATGGTCAGTCTGTTAGTGTGAATGCATTCCACGCGTCCCAGATGCATGAGGATATTACGGACAATGAGGGGAAAGGCCGCCTGTGAGCGAGGACAAAGGGTGCCACGCAGACTCGACACTCTGCACATACCGCCAGGGACATGCTGCGGGCTCCCTGGGACACAGACGCCTTGTTAGATTACAGCTAGTCAGCAGAGATTAATTCTCAGCCATTTGGTGCAATAATTTACCCATTCCCCGGTCTTTTAACTAGCACTCCTTACTATGGAAGTGAAGGCTTTGTACTCAAAAGGTTTATTTAACCTTGCCTACTTTTAGGGATCTCCACCAAAATCATTATTTTTCCTTAGAAACCGTAATGACATAGCTGCTTGAAGTTGAGGAATATTCCTTTGGAAGGTGGGCAATTTATGCACAAATTTTAGAATTGTAGGTAGAGTCAAAGGCATTCTTTCAGCACCTGTATATTTCATCTGAATATAGTGTGACTCAGTGGTCTAAGTACATTTATTTTACTGGTCTCTGGGAAGCCATACTTCTCTAAGAATAATTTTAATCCTTTTTTAGGAGGAAAATAAAACCTCATCAGTACACAAAAGTCCTCATTGGATAGAGTCATGCATATTCAAATTGTACTTTTATTCACTTGGTCTCATTAATAGCGTATGTAATAATGTAGGGCTATTTGTAATACAAGCTCACAGGCAGCATTGCTTCCAAGTCCTTTGAAATTTAACATATTTCGCTTTTTCATTCCATACACCTCCCTTAAATATACAAATTATGTGTCTGGCAGAATTCGCCTTCTCTTAATAATACACAGCATTTGCGAAATGGTATGTTGAAGAAGTGTGGGTGTGCTTGTGTGAGCACATAAAACCCTCGTGTCTGAAAGGGCCTGCTCACTTCTTGAGCTTTTTATTGAACTTTTTGCAAAATAAATAAACAAACAAACAAATAAATAAGAATCAGTGTGCTTAGCAACATCATTTCATTGTGAAATTACCTTCAGAATAAGTCCATCTCCATAAATATTGACACAATAGTCTTTGGTCACAGAAAAGATATGTGCTATTGTCAGACACTTTTTTTGTACTTTTATTTCTAAGTGAGTACTCAAAGAAGACTTGCACATAGAGCAGAATTTGAATGATTTAAAGGGTTTTTAAAATACCCAGTTCTGCAGAAAAGTGATTCGTAAAACCCTGGTATTCAGTCAGTAACCATGTTGCTTTCCTTCTTTCAGTAACTGAAAGTAACATTGGTGTTCAAAACATTTGCTTTTATGAATTTGTGAAGGTAAGATTTAGCACTTTTGGCATGTTTATCTTCAGGCACATCAGTGACTGGCTGATAACTGACCAAAGGGTAGATATGCTGAAGCAGCCTTGACCAGGTGGAAGCTTTGGTGAAGGGTCCTCCTTTTCACCTCAGAGTGTCGATTTTGTAATTGAAAAACATGTTAATGTTCTCCAAACTCTACTTACTCGGCCCTGGTAGATATGGGCATGAGAGGAAAATGGATGATGATTCAATCATTTCTGAGAGATTTAGGCAGGAAAGGGTAATAGGATGGGAAATGGGACCCCAAAATTCCAGCTCTAATGCTGCCACAAGTGGGTGGGTATCTTGGGCAGATCTCTCAAGTTCTTTGGACCTTAGCTTCTTCACTTGTCATATTTAGTTAGGTTGCGGAACAAGTTCTCGCTCTCTATAACATCTTTTCAGGAATTCTGAGTGCCTCTTTAAGACAACAGGCCCTCGCTAGATCCTCTTATTCCTAGATGCCTATCTTTTCCTAAGTTGTCTCAGCTCGCCAGGCTGCTGTTAAGGTAGTATCTGGCTCCCTTGCAGACTCAGCAGCTATTGTATGTCCCCTCTTCAGGATGACAGCTAGCCCAGGACCTTCACCTGGAGCAGGTGCCCAGAAATGCTGCTTAAGGCTGATACATGCCGGGCACTGTGTCACAAGATCATTTGTACATGTGAAGTCACATGAGAAGTACAAAAGAGGAGCCAGTATTGGTACCTGTGTTTGAAAGAAAATCTTTTGCTGGTGTAGCTTCATTATATAGGTAGTGTGTTTGACTGCAACATGGTTATGTAAATTTCCTTTATATTTCAAATATGCAATTTTCTTAAATATTTATTTTGACCCCAGCCAAATAACCTTTTTGAAATTAAGTCATGCACTTTAAAATACTCTGGGAAATTCTCAGGGAAAGTGGGTTGTTAAGTTTTAAATATGTAAAGAATCATTTATTTAAAAAATACTGAATAAGAAGCATTTATAGAAATATATTATTAAATGGATTACTGCACTATGTTCTGTTTTGGTAATTTATAATTGTTGTGATCGTTATTTTTAGTAAAGGAAGAACACTGAGAACTTTGTGAAAAGGCAGCTGTCATTTGAAGATGTTATATCAAAGTCAAATTTCTTTTCTAATTTGTTTCCACTCCTAATTAGAGGAATTCCCTGGATACAAGGGATTTATGTTATTCTTTTTTTTCTAGTTTTTGAAAGACTATATGAGTCACCCACAAACAGTTGCCAGAGAATAATAAAAAACAATTATTTATAAGATAAGCTTCAGTACAGATGGAAAAAATCTATAGCCTATCAACTCCTACCTCCTGTTTTATCTTTCGCAACAATTTAGCTCTTGAGAATTCTTTCTCAATTGATTTTCCTCAAGAGTTGACATTGTTTCCCCCTGTTTTTAGTCAG